CCCCACCCCCCACCCTTCCTTACTGCTCAGGCATGGACTTCTGCCTCCAGTGAGCAGAGCTCCCCGAGGCGTCGCTGGAGCAGGACAGGTTGCTCGGAGAGCTGCGGTTGTGAGGGGAGCGACCCAGAGCCATGGCGGAGGCCAGGCTGTAACTCTCACAGCCCGGAGACATCCTGGAGGAGAACAAACACGTGCACATACAAGAAGTGTGAGAATCTACAGGCATGTGGAAATGGAGGATAAACACAGCAATGCGTTGAAGGAGCAAAATGTTCCAATTTGTTCCTTCAGAGGAAATTCCATTGATTGCTACTTCCCACGCATTCTGGAGGACATGAATACTTAACACCCGGCGGCTGAAAAATCAGCTTCCAACCCGACGGCTGCCTTTTGTGTGCTTTGTTGATACACTAGCTTGCAGGATTTGCTTTGAATGTTTAATTTCAAGAGGTTCAAAATGTGTTATTTTAATGACGAAATAAAAGCAGTAACACTTTAGTTTGTATAACTTGCCTACAAATGGTTTATTTATAACATCTCACAACCATACCTACTTATACTCAACCTATCGTCATATTTAAGATAGAGATGATCTGTTAAACCTCTTCAGGCAAAGCAACACAGTTGAATCGATAAGCTTTTAGAATGTTAAAAATACTAACAATAAATGATTACTAAAAATAAACTCACACAAATACTTAACCAAGGATTAGCTGATGAGACTTCTGGCATAAAAATCCACATTTTCCAGCTGAACTGTACATTGTAAATCAGGGGTGTCCAAACCTTTTTCACTGAGGGGCCACATACAGAATAATATACAAAGGGTTGGGCCACTCCCTAGAGGTGAGGTTCGTGTCATTAGTTAAGTTAAACTCTCCGTAGGGTTCCATTGATTTTGCTTGCAGCTCATTCCTTAAAACAGAAGCCTCAGATTGTTGCTAATAAGTGGAAATGGGAAGGGTGTATTTCAAGCTTGTTCTGCAAATAAGTGATTCTGCTTTTTCAATATCATCTAATATTTTACAGAAAATGTCAACTTTAATGTATTTGAAAATGTATTAACACATAAAATATATTTAAGCAATAGCTCACGACAGGCCGTGGCATATGGTCATTATATCACAGCTAAGGGGCGTGGTTCGGCCCGACGCGAAGCATGCAGTTTGCTTTTCAGCCCAACTGTATACAGTTAAATCGACCGGACTTCTTTCTGCAGATGTGAGCGTCCTTAACAACAGTCAATAAGTCCTTGCTGCACATTATCCCTTACATGTTTCCAACTTAAGCTTTGTTAAATGTAACAGTTGTAACGGTTGTAGCTTTTCTCAGACGCGGAGGGATACTGACTTGTTGTGAAAAGTAACTACAATTCTACCTGTGATATACGCTCATTATATCACGGCTAAGAACCAATCAGATTGCTTGATTTGACTTGTCCGTTTTATAATTTTAGATATATTTAAGATGTTATATATAAGACAAGCACCAGTTTCATGAGTGGGCCATATTCCATTTTACTTTTAGAATTTACCTGAGGGCCAATTGGAAATTGACCCCGGGCCATAGTTTGGACAACCCTGTTGTAAATCCTCTTCCCCTTCTCATATAAATATTTGTATTAAATTAATCAGAATCTAGACGTGGAAGGGGCTCTGACCTCTTGGTGTCGAGGGGCCGGCCGTCACTGCTGACGCTGCGCGGGATGACGGCCCCTCGCTCCAGCCTCTCTGCAGACAGGGTCTTCCCCCCGGAGCTGCCCAGGCTGATGGCCCGGTTAGGGGTGTGCGGCTGCGGCGAGGCGGTCAGGGACTGCTGGGGGCTGCTGGACGTCCGCTGCCACTTGTTGTTGTTGTTGCGGAACGGGAACTTGTATTCGAAGGAGCCGCTTTCGCCGCTGCTGCTCTTATAATCTGACGCAGGCATCCGATAGAGCTCCGAACAGCCCCTGTGGAAAGAGGTGAACAATCATGTTAACTGCACTCCAGATAACTGAATTAAGAAATACATGGTAATTAAAAGTACTTAAATATATATTTATATTTTTAGGAACTAGCTCTTATTTGGATTGTATTTATTCTCATTTAATTATTGTAAGATTGTTTTATTCAGTGCTGTGTTTATTAACTTCTGTTGATGTTGAGTGTTTTAAAAATCACACAGTTATGTTTTGCCCTGCTTATAAACCGGATGAGGAGTGACTATAGTTTTGTTTGTTTGTTCACTTTGTGTTAACTTTCCAGTATAAAAAGTGCCAGGTAAATAAAGTTGACTGATTGATTAAAGCAGCTTCCGTCCCGTCCTACCTGCGTGGGGTGGCGTCATCATGTGGCGGGATGATCACGACCCGCACTGCCACTGAGGTCCGCAGGACGTCAATCATCTGCTCGTGGGTCAGCGTTGCTACGGCAACTTTGCAGATTTCCACCAATCGGCTTCCCTGACGCAGTCCTGCCTGCCAGGCGTATCCATACGGCTCCACCTGTTGAAACAAAGTTTGATTGCATTACAGCTGTCGGGGTGAGACGCTCAAACAGTGATATTTAAGATAGTGAAAGGGAAAATGTAGTTTAAGGTAATGTAATAAAGTGCAATGATAATGTTTCTGTCTCCACATAATTGCTTGTTATATATCATGGTGTAACACTCTGCAATACTGATTATTGTTATACTGATTTTGAACGCAACAAGGTGGCAACAAGGCAACTTTGACTCTCTGCACTTTGCAACAAATGACTCATTACCAATACAACTCTTTAAAGATAAAACAATCCAATAAAATAGCAATTTAAAAAGGGCAGAACATCCCAGCAACAGGTGGAGTAAATCTAATTAAGCATATCCACTCTCTTCAGGGTAGAAATGTGTTTCACTCAAATTAACTGGATTGTTTTATAGTTCATTTTCAGAGGAACATCTGAGTTATGTGCGGACAGATACCTCAGCCACGATGCCCTCGTAGTTCACGTGGAAGCCGAGCTGCCCCAGGCCATTTCGACGGAGCGTCATCTCTGATGTCTCACAGCCTTTAGTCAGGAACTTGACACATGAAAGATGCACAAGGTAGAGATAAAAGATTAATTAACACGCATTAGATAAGAGAGATGATGAAAAATACCAAAACAGGTCAAGAGGCAGGTGAAGGAAAATAGGGTAGATAGTATTAAAGCTACCAAACACTATTTTAATGTGCATATGTGCTTCGACCTACAAGTTGAAAAAGAGATTTTTTTGAATAATTTAAGAGATCCCTTCGAGATTTATAGCCATAAATAAAGAGTAATTAGTGCTCCAGCTTATGCAGTACACCTCTCACCAGTACACACACACACACACACACACACACACACACACACACACACACACACACACACACACACACACACACACTTGAAAGCCGGTTTCTTTCTTGCTGAAACACTTTAGGCTGTGTTCACGCAGAGATGCGTTGCTCAGGAGAGACCCTTTTGGACTTCATGTTGTTTCATGACGGGATGCGATATTCAGGCGGGGATTGCTGTGAAGTGGCCGTCCTTCTGGGACTAAGAGCCCAAATCGCTTGTCAATCATCATCTGGCAAAGAATCTGTCAAAGCCAATCATAATTCCGGACAAATTTTAATTATGGTAACTCACTTATCCCTCTCTTCCTCTAATGAGTCTCCTGGCGACATCAGGGCACCTTCCTTGCATTTATTTTTTCTTTACAGAGCCTTAGCAAAAGCTTTATTGAAGTCAAACTCACTAGGGTGCGTGAATAAATCATGCTGAAGACTGGCAGCTGATAGGAATTGTTATGATGCTCTCTGATGTTTCTGAATGTGTGCGTGGGAGAGAAGGAGGGCAAGAAAAAAGGGAACGATGAAGAACAAACAGAGGACAGGAAGAGAGGAAAGAGAGAGACGAGTGGCCCAAGGCCTTCTCTTTCTCTCTCTGGCACCAAGGTAGTCCTAACGATTGAAGATTAACGCCAGATGCAGAAAATGCAACATGAAAGTTATACATTTCTGAGTCCTGAGCCAACTAACACTATGTGTGTTTTTAAATGATGTGTGTATACTTGTGATCGAATCAAAGAGGGTGGACTCCATCCAGGTTACGTAAACATTGTACAAGAAAAACATCACACACACAATTTGAAGGTAGGAAGAGGCTGGGGGAATGAATGTATTCTAAAGCACTGATGATTGCATAAGAATACACCTTTTCTTTCTAACCAGTTTCCATGGAAACAGATAAGGAAGAGCTAGCACTACTTCAGTGTGTGTGTAGGTGTGTGATGAGCCGTTAGGAGTATGATGTCCAGAGGTGTTTCTGAAACTTTTTCAATAAGCTGAGGCCAGTAATGAGACAGCAGCTCAAAAATGTTGTCATGCTGGCAAACTATCAGTAAACAGTGGGAGTCATTGTGTGTGTGTGGGGGGGGGGCAGGTAGATGATCAATGGCAGCCAACAGCACTCTTACACATTCAATAGGTTTTCCTTAGTATTTGGTTTTCACACATGAATTAAAGTGTTTTTAAATAACCTTTTTTTGTCATATTTGACAAAACTTTTACCAAATCCTCTAGACAATGGGTAATGGCGCATTTCCACTACAGCGCGGAGCTCGCTTTAAGCGTGCCGAGCCGTGTGGGGCCCGTTTTTGGTTGCGTTTCCACTTCCGGCTAGCCGCTAGCTGGTACTATTTCAACAAACAGGGCTGAGTATGCTAAACTAGAGAGAGAATCGCTGGCAAGGGGGCTACAACTACAACAAAAGGAACATATTTGACCGTGATTTAATTATAACACGTTTCAAAATGATGCCGAAGTAACAACATACTGATACCGGTTAGTAAAAACCATGAATTAATGCTTTGACAAGTCTGCAGACAGACGGCAGGCGAAAAACCTTTTAAAATGCGCGTTGTCTAAAGGGAGATCGGCTAAGCTAACGCAGTATATGCTCCGACCGTCCACACTCACAACGTCATACACACATAAATAAACCAGCGACTGTATTCGCCATGACACAGGCAGTCTGTGGTTTGTACTTGTTTAGAAAAAAAAGAAAAAAGGTGAAAAAGTAGCCCCGGGCCGGAACTAAGCCTAGTGGAAACGCAACCAAAAACGGGACCGGCACGACACCGCACGATTAAACCGCGCTCGCGCCATGGTGGAAATGCGCCAAAACTAGGCAGTGTGAAAACATTAAACGAGTCAAGATTATGTTTTATGTTTATGACTCAAGCATTGTCTATTTTTCACCTGAAATGTTTTCAGAAGCATATTTAATGTGCTGTTAAATTAGCAAGTTTACTCTAGCCGGTGAACAGTGCTTGGTTTCTAATTGTACAGCCAAGAAGTAAACTCAAATACGTTTCGGAAAACTTTTGAGGAGAAAAATGCACGATGCAGTAGTCTATCAGTAAAAGTGTACTGTCTAATGCACTCACGTCAGGATATAGTGACAGCTTCAGCAAACCCCACAAAAAGTTATTTTTTAAAAAGTCACTAACTGGAGTCTGCATGTTTGTCAGAGCCTTTCTTTTGTGCCGCTCAGAGTCTCAAAAAAACTACATGGAGTCTGGTTCATTTGAAAGTGGAGCAACCCATAAGGTAACAGAGGCCAAACATGTCAGCGCTGAAACTATATCATGTTAAATCTCATGTCAAGTAAACTTGGCACGAACTGAGAAAGTTTTGATTGACGTCATGAATCATTGACTTGACAATTGTTCAAACAACTACTAATTTATCATGCAGAAAACGCAATATCTTGGCATGCTAAGCCGGCATGCTAAGCTAACGTCTCACCTCGAGACGTTTGACCACCTCCTTGAAATCCTCCGTGTTGTTACTGATACTCCTCAGAGACACACTTTCCCCGCGCTCGTAGAATATCCTCAAAGACGCAGGGCTGCTCGCCGTCCAGCCGATCACGTCCTTAGCGGCGCAGTTAAACACCACGGCCTTGGCCCCCTGGTCCAACAGGATGAGGAAGTCATTGGAGACGGCCAGCAGGGCCTCCAGCTCCCCCCCCGTCCCGTGGTCCTCCACCTGGACGAGCCAGGTGACGGCCCCCAGGCTGCGCAGCTCTGCTCCTCCATACGGCCGGCTCTTCTCCTTTTTCTTGTGCGCCAGCGAGATGAAGGGGAACTTTCCGGAGGGGTCGATGGGAGTGCTGGTGGTGTGGCGCTCGGCCAGGTCGCGCAGGTACTCCTGTCGCGTTCGGGTGGCCATGGTGCGGAACTTCTGTGACTTGTGGGCGGCGTTTTCTGCATTGATGACCTTGGCCAGCAGGAAGTCCCGGAACACGGAGGATTTGGGAAAGGTCACGTCTTCTGGGATGGGAGGACCGAATGAGGGCACATCTTTGGAACGAGTGACGGCCACACTAAAAGAACAGAGGATCAAACCAGGCAGAGAAAAAAGAAGATGAGAGAAGAGAAACATTTTTTGTTAACAAATCTGTTGTTGCAGTAGTGACCACTAATGTGGATAACTTAGGGAGGGTATTTTGTTCTGACATCATGGATTATGGGGCTTCAGTGTTTTATTACGTCGTAAATCTTTTCAGAATGTCACATCTCATCCAACCAAGTGTTGTGTATATGCTTAAGTTTGAAATAAAAAAAGATGAAATATCAAACAGAATTTATGTTTGATATAAAGTCTCATGCTTTGTGCTCGCTCAAGTATGGGAACCTAAAGGCAAAATCCTTGACTAGTATTTATAGTAAATAGATTTTAAATGTGAAAAAGGCATGTTTCGTTACTGCTTTAAATTGGCTGTCTACTCTCCTGCTCTCTTTATCTATTTAAATGTTGTTCAAAATAAGTTGATACATTTGTAGTGTTTAGGCCTTGTACATTTCCTTTTTCCTAATACTGCAGTATTTACTTCAATTTCATTTCCTCTACCTCCCTGTTTTCCTGCTCTCCACCTCCCTTCTCCAAACCCCTTTTTCCTTTGATTAAGTCTCTGGAATGGCTATCTGAGATTCTGTCTGGTATGTCAGGAACTCAGCGGAGCAGCCATGGAGAGGAAGGAGAGTCGAGGAGGAGGATGAGGAGGGAGAACTATTCTCAAAGGAAAATGCCGCTGAGAAAGAAGTGTGAGAGACTCTGAAAGGATAGGGAAAGTATTGCTTACTGGAAAGAAAACAACATTTGTGTTGTTATGTGAGACAAACACAGGTACAAAATGATCTGTTGAATGTCTCAGTCTGAAGCAGTTAACCAAAATAAGCACAATATCACATTTCCTCGTCTCAACCTCCCCATGACCAAATTAGCTCAATCAGAGCTCCTCTCTCAGGTGATAATTAGCAGCTGAGAAAGCAGAGCCTTCATCCCACACGCTGACATGCATCAGCACACCAGGATTAATTGTTTTGTCTAATTATAAGCAACTAAAGTCAAAATGTCAACCACATATTTCTAAACATACCCCCGAGACCCCCTGTTCTCTCTGGAGACGTGTGGTGTTCAATTATACTAACTGTCAAATTTGTTGACACGTCATTTCCCAACTTTCCTTGTTGGTGACAGACTGAGGTATGAGTGGAAACAACTGTTGACATTGCTTATGAGAGTGCACGCACACACTTTTATGGTACAGTTTTGATAAAGAAAATGGGAATAACCACAGTTATGATGCGAGTAAGTCAAAATGTGGCTTGCTTTTCTCACAAGGCATATGAACTGCTCTCAAGGACATAAACAAGGAGCAGGGAAGGAGGTTGTGTGTAGGTGGAGGGTCATACAAACATACTAACATTACATTTCCCTGCAGCTATTTGGATTTGTTTTCATTTAACCGCTAACGTATGTTCAATATGAACCATATTTCCCCTATTTCTACGTTAATGCATTACACGATCAGTTCATGGTTCACCTGATACATTTCAAAGTTGTTTACTTTTTACGACACAGAGGAAAGGTGTGATCCCTAGAAGTTACAGACATTTTAAAATGAGAATAACGTGCAACACATACTACATGCAGTGGGGGCAAACCATTGATTATGTTGTAATGTTCATGTTTAATGCCTTGAACAGACAACATCAGTCCTCCTTATGTTGACATCATTTTTTAGCTCCGTAAAGACTCAACATAATTGACTTCTAATTAAATCAGCAAGGTTAATACAAACTGTATGCTGTTCCCAGGTTGTTTTAAAGGAGTACCTCACCTTAAAAGCAAAGAACATGCAAGTACTTGAATGTTCTACGTCCAGGTTGAAGTGGATTTCTTTCTAGTTAAATGGGCTGTGATAAATATTTAGATTTGTGTATGTGAAGTTGCTCCTAGTGATGGGCCCTGTACCATCATCAGCGGTCTTTGAGCTCCAAGAAAGAGCTTGTTTCAGCTTGTTGTTTTGGTTTTTTGGTCCACAGCGTTCACTCTTACTACTCTCAACAGGGTCATTACCAGCAGCAAAAGGTCAAAAAAAAGAAACTGCATGCAACGTCGCCAGCAGAGCCCCAAATGAAAGATAGACAGTCAACCACTCACTCGTGAACACGGAGCAGCATTAGGGGTCTAAAGAGCAAAATCATTTTCTCAAGAATTGATGGACCCAAACTGAGTTACACAGAGACCGAATATTAGAAAAGTACATTATTTGGGAGGCCAGAAAGTCGACTGATGATAATGGATAATAGATTTGTAAATAAGCATGTCTGCTAGCAACATTATTTTATAAGTGATATTTGAGATCTTTGCTAGGCCCAAGTATCCAAAAGTGTTAATGCAGGTTCAAATGGCACATTATATGAGAATACAGTGCACCGCAGTTTCACACTACTGATCATTTGTAAATCAGATCTAAGCAGATGTCATGGCAGCAAGAAAATATCTGTGATAATGAGCTGCAAACGGCACTTTCAGGTTCACTATGTTGCCCGGGTTGAATTTCAATTGCACTGGAAGCCGGCAAATTGTAAGTACATTTCTAAGAAGGCTATATCATAAGTACAGTATGTGAAATAAATAAATAAATACCTAGAATTGAATTTTCCTTTTGCGGCGCTAGCATAGAAAAGCGTAATTTGAAAACTGACAGCTCATATGAAGCACAAAGTAAACGACTTAGTCTGAAGGCAATATTCGTCAATGCTTTTTTTGCAGATGACAAATGAATCATGCGGGGTATTTCAGAGAGCACCAGCTGAAGTGCTTATAAGCAGGGCTGAACAAATGGTACAAATAAAATGTGACCTTTTATTCTTATTCTTCTCCATCACTACAAACATCACTCAATGCATTCAACTGGAGCTCTAAAAGCACTCAACCAATCGCCTGTGACTCACGCAGGACACAGAGCGGTGACGGAGAGAGAGAGAAAGGTGGAGGTGTGAAAGCCAGAGAATAAGACAGAAAAGCACGAAAAAAAACTGAATGATATAAAAAAGAGAGATTGAATGAGAAAAGAGGGCGAGGGTGAGAATAATATGAGCAATAAGAAAAGAAGAATGTGGTGCAATTGAGGTTTCTGTGCGGTGCGGCTGCTGTGTGATCCGCGTGGCAGGAGGTTTGGCAGCAGGAAAGAAAAAGTACATTCCTGTGGTTTCTGTGATTTGTGGTCTTATAAATATCTACTGTGTGGGCAGCGCCGCTCTTCCAGCATCCACGACCTGCTGCCCACTGAGCCAAGTAAGAAAAAGAACATGTCAATACGTATTGGAGTGGGTGGCTAAGAGGTGTACGTACTGTGGATGTGTGAGGAAGGTACACAAAATATGCTTTTGTCTATTTGGGACAATAAGTCCTAGGGAAACAGTATGCAGGCTCGCATAGTGGGTTTTCTGCTGTGCCCAATCCATGTGTAGTGTGTTCTAGATTAGTGAGACCTTTTCGAGTGACAACCCCCCCATCATAATGAGGTCAGTGTTCGCACCCCATGCAAACGCATTGATCGCTGAAAAGAAATTGTGAATGCACTGTGTGCTGTTAATGCCTTCTGGTGTGTCCACATGTTGGCATATGATTACTGTAGTGTACGCAATGCAAGTGTACGTTTGTAGTTGTGTAAATGTATCACTCAATAAAATCTATTTTTAATATATTATATAAGGCTATCTTTTATCCGTGGTAAAGGCGATTGTAATGTAATATCCATGCCCCAGTTGAATTAGGTTATTCGTTTTTTTGCTGGAGTACCCTCAAGGATGTTCTATCAAACCCCTTAGCGTACACTAAAGATGTCACATGAAATTCACAAAGTAAAATATAATAATAATCTGATCTAAATCCTCCTGCGTAAGGTAGTGAGTAATTATTCACACCATATGAAATGTGTGCACTGGGAGTCACGTTCAGTGTCACCATTACCTCGTGGTATATGCTGCTTGTGTGTTTAGTCTAGCAAAGGTCTCATAGCTGTGAAGGTGTGTTTGCATTCAGCAACGAAGACACCTGCAAACTGGTTGAAATGGTGCTGGTGATTCCAGTCTCCAGCAAAAGATGCTCTTTTGTTCAAATGCATTGTTCATTATGTCATGGCTAGCTAGAATCGCTGCAGGGGTTTTCTTGGTCACCGCAGAAACAAACATTTTCCTGTAAATGTTTTTAAACAAATAGATTTATGAAAATGTAATGATATAAAAATGTCTTATTATCATTTAAAAAATACTTTTTGCAATTCTTTGTATTTTATTATATATGTTGCATTTTTTGAGGAGCTCAGGTCAGAAGAATGTCATTGCCATTTCTACACTGTAGCTCCAGTGTTTCCCCTACCATTGTCTTGGAGGGGCGCTGCGCCCCGCCAACTGAGCCCCGCCAACGGAGCCCCGCGCCCCCCCCTGAAATTCAAGGTGTTTAAACAAAAACAAAACAAAATGTGGAACCAAATTGCAACTACCGGTAGTCTATATCTACTGTCACTTTTCACATTGAACATGTGCTCTTTTATTAAATAAACTTAACACTTTCATTTTAAGTTGTGAGTTTAGTGTTTTTGACCCTAAGAAATCATTAACAATAATCCACAGCTCGAGAGGATTTAAAAAAATATATATCCCAATGCCACAAAAATGCATCAGTGACGTGGTTGAAATCTCTTCTCCAGAAAACTGAAACAAGCGGTATCAGTGACTGTGTGTTTGATGTGGCTCTTTGCAGTAACATAGAACAAATGTGTAGTAGAAATCCGAAAAATAGGTCCAAACATTTTCCGCCACTTTCCAATTCACCAAACATTGCGTACCGGCGAGGAAAGTGCGTACGGCACTTCCTACGCCGGTTACCCTTTATAAATCACAACCGACTCGAAATGCGGTGCAGCTTTTGCGGGCTTCACGTAACGCCCGTGTTTGCCTATAAATAGTCAAAGAAACGCCCTTTCATTCATTCATTCATTTTCAGTGACTGCATGGAGAAGATCGCAGGAAATGACGACAGAACAGCTAAAAAAAACATCTCACATCGTGTCAGATTTTGGTTATTTTGGGGAGGTCGAGATAAATCATATTGTTTGGTGGATGCTAGAGATATCCCGATCACGTGATCGGGGATCGGAGCCAATCACGTGATTTTCAAAAGATCGGGAGAAAAAAAATCGGGAATCGGGATTTTTTTTGTTTTTATTAAAATACTTTTTTTGTATTCAATGTTACAAAACAAAAATGACCATNTCAGGCAGCACCCCCCCCAAAGCAGTAAACCTAGGGGAAACACTGAACTCTGTACATATGACCATAAAACCTTTGAATCTTGAATTGGAAAAAAAGGAGTTTAGGTGCTGCATTAGGGCAGAAGATCAACAATGAAGAATAAATAACTTATATGAATTTTTGTTCACCTGATGTTTCACCTCTACATTTGCAAGAAATTAGTATTCACCTCAGAAAACAATACAACGTGTACCGTATTTGCTCTATATTCACATTGCTGGGCTCTTTATTTAGCACGTGTGTGTTGTTACTCAGTAACGAAGTAGCCCCATGGGGGACAATTAAGACCTCACACAATGTGCCCAGACAGCAATTAAAACAGTCATTAGTGAGAGAGGGAGGGAGAGTCGTAGACAGCAAGATAAGAGAGAATGACAGAAAAGGAGATAACAAGACAGTTAGGAGTACACAGAATGAAATGAAATGTCCTTACAGCTGAACAGGCAGAAAGTCCATTATTTCTTAAAAAATGATTCAAGGCTGGCACATTGCATTTCATATTGCACATCTCTGACAACGTGGTAATACATCAGGGAGATACAGGGAGGACTCTCAACTTTCTCAGCCTAATCACTGATGGAGTAATGGAACGGCAATCATTCGAAGCAACAGCATTATTCGTTCAGCAGTGATAGAAAGGGACTCATGAAGAAAAGTAATCTGCATAACAAAGACCAAAGAAGACTAGAGTTTTTCAAAGTGCATATTTTAACCTGGCTTCAATAACACTAAGATAACAAGAGAGCTGTCATATTACTGAAGGGTTGCCGTGAGCAACAAAAAAAAGAAAGAAACTGAAATTATATATAATCACCTGTATAACGTAACACCCCTAGAGGAAGCATTAGAAAAAAAATACCTGTTATAAATAAATAAATAATACAAAACAATTAGAAAGACTTTATCAAACTATGTTTTAAATGTTTGGAAAATGTTTACAAGTCAACTTTTTGTTCAACTCTGCTGCTTATTATAAAGTCCATTAAACTATTCACTAAATAGCCTACTGTACCTTATTCCATTTTACCACTTCATAGAAAATCAGCATGAACCACTTAATTCAGCTTTAATTGATTTTAAACGATCTGAATAATTGGTTGGATAATGGGTATTTCCTAATTTCTTTTCTCAGTCATGTACACGTATTCTCTCTCGTCATTCGGGTGGGTTAAGCGTTGGCTTTTTTATAAATAATGTTATAAAAGACAGCAGATATCCCCAATACTGAAGGTGAGAAACCAAGGGATGAAAACTCACTTTGTAACAGCTGGATATAGCATCGATGTTTGGGACCAAACAACCACAAAATTCTAAATACAACACTCATAAATACGGTATATACAAATACAGTATATGAGTATATCTCACCTGTAGGAGCTGTTTTCGGAACATGGGTTGTGAGCTCGCACAACCACAAAGACGTGCTGGAAGTGTGAGCGAATATTTTTGGGGGTGAAGGGGAGCGCGCCAGGTTCCTGGAACACGATTGTAACAATATCGTTCCCAATATGCCGCTTTCGTAGTAACTGGAAAAGCACAAAGAAGGCAGGAGAAACCAGATTAGATACTAAGTTATACTAAATAAGATACCTGGAAAATACAGAAAAAACAATGAAAAACGTTTGAACCACAGTCCATTTGATATGTGCAGTGCACTGTGAACATAGACATTGCTGGCATTATCTACACTATTCCTACTGAAGCCATGTGCAAAATTATTATAGGATAAGTGAAACCACACTACATGCTAATGTAGTCTGGTTTTCTCCTGCCTTCTTTTAATTATTTCAATTAAATAGTTAAAGTTAAAAATGCTTTTTCGTGAACCTACCTGTTGCTTATTGTTGGGTGTGTAGGGCAGCATGGTGGACACATGGAACATGATCTCATAGTCCTTGTAGGTGGTGTACATGGAGTGGGTGCCCGTCGAGTCAGCTGAGGGGAAACAACTACATGTCAATTCTCAATTACACAGTTATTATAACCTGGATTGACCCAAGGTGGGATGGTTTCTGGAGCCAAACCCCAGGAATGTAATTGGCAAATGTCCAAAACCCCATGTGAATATAAAAGAAATACCACTTCACTGTGATCATATTCCACTCTCCTAAATTGTATTGCTTTTTTTGTTTTAGTGGAACTTCCAAAAACCAATCGTTCTTCCACTCTAATACCGATAAAACAGAATTGCTTTAGTGCAAAACATTTTAATAGCTTAACAATGTCAAAAGTATTCAAAATTATTTACTATAAAATCTTCACTAAGTATAATTGTATAGTGTAGTATGGTATCATTCAAATGTCTTGTTTCCTTACTATAAAGGTGTGTATTAAAGCATCATCTGTATGTTGTCCAGCCTTCCTGTGAATGCTGATAGGATGTGTTCCCTGAGCTCTGAACAGCCTCTGGCCCTAAAGAGAACCCCTGCATGTTAATAACCACCACCAGTCCATTGATGGGCTCTATTCAGAGAACAGAACAGTCACAAAAGCCGCGTTCACACCGCAGTACTTTTCCCACTTTAGTTCCGATATAGTTCCGAAATGTTGCGTTCACAACAAAAAGAGCCGGAACTAAAATTAGTTCATGAGAACTAAAGAGTTCTCATGAACTAAGTTCTCATGAACCTTTGTGGGAAAAGTACTGCGGTGTGAACGCGCCTAAGGTGTTTAAAACCTTGCTAAATTACTCCTAATAGGAGGGTGTGGCATAGCTGTATTTAATTACCTAGAGGGTACAGAGGGTGTTATTACATCCCCTGAAAAAGTGAAAGGGAGTGTTTGTCACAAAGATTACTTGTATTTTTGTAGGAATAATACAGAGTTAAATATGACAACATGAAAATATAAACCTGAAAATTAGCATTAAAGGACCCCTTTAAAGTCAAATTTGTTTTCAGTAAATGCATAAATAGCAGAAGAATCAGGGAAAGAAAGAAAAAGGGATTAAAGTAGTCTCAAACTCAGGGGCAGAAAAGAAAAGCAGAAGTTTCAAACGTTTTTTTTTTTATTCATAAACACTGCAAAGGAAAATAAATGGGAAGATTTGTGTAGCACTTCAATCCACTTGAACATTTTAAGAACTTCAAATGTCTGCCAAAACCAATGCCAATGTAGTGAAACTATCATAATATATTTAATTTCAGTTTAGTGCTTTATTTTACTCCCCACATTACACAGCCTCCTTCTTCTGTGAAAAGTGGTTTTAGATTATTTTAGAGGGCATGTTCAAGTAGTACTGTAGTCTGTGAAGTGAATATTTTCTGTGTGCACACTTAGCTGGTTTACCCACAGCGGTTACTTCACCACAATAAAAGAGGTTTGTTTCAGCTCTGAGCAAACGGGTAAAACCTCTCCATCTTCCCTCAAATCAGACCTCATCGGAGAGCTATTTAAAGTTCACTTATTACGCAAAATCCACTTCTTCACGTCTCTTCTACATAAACATGTGTCCCCCTCTGCGTAAAGAGATTCTGAAAGTTTCAGGAAAAAAGATTGTTTCTCTTTTTGTCCTGATCCATTTATATAAAAACCTGTCTGA